AGCCAGAGTCAAGCCAGTGCCTCCTTTGCCACTCCTGGGCCATGTTTGGCCCACATGCCTTATGCCAGAGCCAACGCAATGCCACCTGTGCCAGCTTCATGCCGAATGTGGGCCAAATGCTATCTGGGATGATAAGCTGTCCATTGTAGTAACCGCTCTCCCTGAAAGTGTTAATGAAGCCAAATTTAAGTCTTTTAAAACCTTGATTTGTGGCTGCTTCAATCCCATTTAAATGGAGGAGTTTGCCACGCCCTTCACTGACGTGCACAAGTTCAGTTCTCAAACAAGCCGTTCACAATGCCATGCGATGATGAAAAGTGTGAAGAGTCGTGGTAAATGGTCACAGAGAACACTCTCCATCCTGAACAAAATTACAGCATTACCAATACTAAGCTGGCATTAGCGCTGTAAACAAGCCAACATTAAATTAAAAATACAATCAATTAATGGGACCGTTGATTGGGCGGAACATTGGCACTTTTGTAATAGATGTGTGATGTAAAAACGACGTTGGCACTAAAATTCACCCCCCTAAAAAGCTCTGTCTTGATTTAATGCGTTTTTTTATGACTGCAATTAGGAAAGTCTTGATGAAGGCCATCACTTAAGGGCAAGGACTGCGTCATTGAAAAGGAAGCAAGCGTTGCAAGATTGCTTCCTGAATTGCTTTGTCACATTCTGTTGTCACTTAGCGTGTGAAAACGGTGACCAATCGTTACCAAAATTCACAGGCACAGTCGTCCTCATGTCTACTTCAACCTCTGAAAATATAAATGTGATCTGCGCAATGTTTTGAATTTTTATGACATGAAATGTGCGCTCCTATGTGGAAAAGCCATCATCACCACCACAAAATCCTAAATACCGTCCTGATTGTATTTTATTTTGAAGAGGACAAGAGTAGGGATGCTGATGATGATGAGTCATAGTTTTTAGACATTGAACAACGCAAAAGGTTTTTTTTTTTACTCCAAAGGAGGGCAACCAGGACTGCCCCCATGCTACCCTAACCGTATGCAACCATGCAACAATCAAACTGATGTTAACACTGTGACCCGAGCTGTTTCCCAACCAGGGCTTATGAAAAGGTCACCTGCATGTCCTCACATAAAAAAATGGCCCTTTTGTGTGACCCTCATGGCAGCTTTGACCGGCATAATGGATTGTTGTTGTTGCTCTGGGGTTTTAGAGAAAGCAATTTTGATACGGATGAGGGCGTCATCCCTGACAATACCGGGATTATCGCTATATATGACCTTTATCTTGCCATGAGCCAGTGAGTGCTTCACAGGCTGCTTCATACTAGGTGTTCTTGAGATATTTTTGAATCAGCAGATTATACACAGACCTATACAGATGCTAAGTGGCTGTTTGATCGGACACGGACAACCTATCAACATGAACACGGAAGATGTTGCAGGCTGAATAAAATGAATGTTGATATTTGTTAAGACGCACCTAAAAGCATTCAGTTTTCTCAAAAGCCGAAAGCGCGCCTTAAAATCCGATGCGTCTTATATATAGATCAATATTCAGATTTCTTGGATTTAGTATTTTAAAGCGCTTTGTTACAGCTTCATTGGTTGTGAAAGCTCAATATAAATAAAGCTGTATTGTAATGGGTCGGACCTATCCCAGCCGTCTTCGGGCAGTAGGCCGGTTGCCAGCCAATCGCAGGGCATACAGAGATGAGCATCCATCCGCGCTCACACTCACACCTAGGGACAATTTATAGTGTTCAATCAGCCTGCCATGCATGTTTTTGAAATATGAGAGGAAACTGGAAGACCCGTAGAAAACCCATGCAGGCACGGGGAGAACATGCAAACTCCACACTTGGAGGCTGGAGCTGGAATCAAACCCGGTATCTCTGCACTGTGAGGTTGACGCGCTAACCACTGGATCACCGGGCCGCCCCAGCACCATCTAGTGGATGCATAATGCAACTGCAGGCACTTCTATTCTGTGCGCCTTATATTGCGGTGCACCCTAAATATGAAAACAGTATTAAAATAGGCCATTCATTGAAGATGCGCCTTATACTCCAAAGCCCCTTATAGTGAGGAAAATACGGTAATTTAATTCATGTGTGTTGGTTGAACTGACACCTTAAGCACCTCGTACGTGTGACTGTAAAGATGCAATTTTTTTTAAACAATTGTGTCCTATATACTTTGCCTAGTAACAAGTGACAAGCACAAAAATAAAACAGAAAAAGTGTTGCGCTGGACAGTTGTGACTGAAAAAATAGGTTGAATGAGTAAAGTTTAGTTTCAGAACGTTTTTAGGTTTAAATAAGAATGATTCACAAATAATAGAGTTCATCAGGGAGGTCATGTGAATGCTTTGTATGCCAGAGAGGTTGTGGAGTCAATCATCCGCAATCTTTGTTAGTTGGGTATTTTTGCGTTGTTGTTCTCCTTGAATCAAAAGGCGATGTATAGTTCCTGAGAATGAAGGCTCTGCGGTAATTGGTGCCATGGGAGATGCCTCAGTAAAGATTGACAACAATTTGACTGCTACCTTCCTCCATAAGGTTTTGTTTAATCTAGTCAGTTTAAAACAAAATATGCATCATCTGCCATCACCACGCGATAGGCCCAAAACAACAACAACAACAATTCGACCTCATTTTGCATCTCTCTCTCTCTCTTTCTCTCTCTCTCTCTCTCTCTCTCTCATCTCTTTCTCGTTACACTCTCAAGTCCTCAACAACTAAAGAAAAGGAGCTTCAAGCCAATGAAATATTCAGCACTTATTTCATTGGAATCATGTAAAGTATATCCTTGATTAATATTTGAGCAATATGTATTATGCATGACGGGACTAAAGAGAGGTCAATGGTGGGTGGGGTGGGGGAATGGGATTTCTGGATTTGAATGTTTGACCCTTTGGAGGATCACGCTTTGGTTTCGCCCAATTGTGTCGCTTATTTGGTGCTTACAATTGGCTATTTTTTAAAAACATAATTTAGATTGTCCACTTGGTAAACCAATAACAACATTTCGAAAAAGTGCAGTTTCAAAATGATCGATGCCAAGGTTTTTTTTGCCTGGAAAAAAAAAAGTCTCTTCGTGTGATATTAGCGTAACAAAGTTTTAACAAGACAATACTCTCGGCTAAAGTTACTTTAGCAGTTGCTTAAGGTACTCGTTCGTTTGTTTGGTTCTGTTGGAGCAAGAATTAAAAAAAAAAAAAAAATCCTCCACAGCACAAGATTCCACAGCACCAGACACTTTAAAGCGCTCAAGGACTTCTGTACAATTGCACTCTTAAACGTGTCTACAAATACTGCTGCTGGTCACTTAAAAATGGTGCAACGTTTATCTGCACTGACTGCACAACTGTTGCAGTCTTGTATTCTACCGCTGATCATTTTAGCTCTGCTCGGTACTTTGCACATTGTCTCACAGCTGTCATTGGGTGATATTAACGCACAACGGTACCCTTACATTACGGAATGTCTTTCCACACTTATTTGTCATGTCCTTGTTTATCGTTGGTGCTTGTTATTGATGATACGAGTATACTACCGGAGACAAATTCCTTGTGTGTTCTACATACTTGGCCAATAAAGATGATTCTGATTCATAAAAAATGTTGTTCTGAGTGTATTCGTACACGCAGTTCTTTTCTGAATGAATACACTGTTGAAACCACAAATATTGATAACCCCGTGTATACAGCACCGCTACTTTTTGTTCGTTTACATTTATTTTACTCCTTAATTCCCTCAAGGGGAAATTCAACTTATGTATTGTTAAATTTATTTTGCACATCACCGCACAAGATAAAAAAAGGAAGAAAAACATAATAATTCATCTGAAATGATTTTTACTTTGTTTTTGTTCCTGGCTCGCCCCGCATCTCTTTAGCATGTGCTAAGCGAAAGCCTGTGCTCGGCCCTTGCCTTTGCCAAGCAACCAGGCTAAAAGCAGTGCTAACTGCAATAAATTGACTCAGTGTGATCAGGTCAATGTCAAGACACAATTTAGTGCAAAGAGAGGTCTAAATATCGATGTGGGGTTTCCAGACAAAGGGGTGCGGCCGGGTTGTTGATGTGGCGTTTCTGGTTGCGACTGACAAACCGCTGAGGCAAAGCCAAGCCTTTTACAGCAAAGGTGACCGGGGTTGTAGCAGAGCTTTTGCTTAGTTTCCACAATATTTTTTCCCCTTCACAAGATTCAGAAGAGCAGTCCGGTGGACCAGTGGTTAGCGCGTCGGCCTCACAGTGCAGAGGTACCAGGTTCAATTCCAGCTCCGGCCTCCCTGTGTGGAGTTTGCATGCTCTCCCCGGGCCTGCGTGGGTTTTCTGCGGGTACTTTGGTTTCCTCCCACATTCCAAAAACATGCATGGCAGGCTGGTTGAACACTCTGAATTGTCCCTCGGTGTGTGTGCGTGGATGGTTGTTCGTCCGAGTGCCCTGCGATTGCGTAATGCATTTAAATCTCACATGTTTCATCATTCGCACTTTCTGTTGGAACTCTGAATTTCTCCCACGTACATTAGATTAATTGAAGGCTAAATTGGTGACTGATATGTGGTTGGGAATGATCGTCTGCCAATTCTGTAGGTGATCTGCGATTGGATGGCAACCAGTTCAGGTGTGTACCCCGCCTCTCGTGTAAAATCAGCCGGTATAAGCTCCAACTCACTCGCAAACCTCAGTGGCATAGAAAATCGCTGATTTGATTTACTGATTACACAACTCATAGTATTTTTTTAATTGACAATCATAAGACAAAAAAAAAATCATTTGAACCTTCCAAAAAATAGGGCCAGGCTATGATGGTATTAAATGTAAATGCGCACTGATTACACAACTCATCGTATTTTTTTAATTTACAATCATAAGACAAAAAAAATCATTTGAACCTTCCATAAAGTAGGGCCAGGCTATGATGGTATTAAATGTAAATGCGTTTGTTTGTATATGCGTTGATGCCGAACACCATGTAAACACAGTATAACAACAGAATGTGACTGACAGGTAGAAAAAAAACAAAAAACTTTTTTTTTTAATTATTGTAATAAAATTCTCAATCCAATCATTCAGTTCATTGTCTTTCGGTATGTACAACACTTGTCTCTACAGTCTCTTGGCAACATTTCTGAAAAAAGACATTTCTAGCGGTTCATATTTTAGCTATGCGTGCTATATGTAACGTTGCAAAAGCCCTCACACAGAGCAATTCTTGTAAAATCTGAAAAGGAAGCTTGGCATTATGCACTGACAGGGCCGAATCCATTGGGCTCGGTGACAGATCCGCCTCGTTTGTGTCCTGAATATTCCCCGATAAAGGAGCCGTCCTCGCTGAATTCTCCTCCGCCGTCAGCGTAGTCCACCAGGCTGTCTCTGCTGACGCCGTCCCCGACCGCATCATCGCCATTCAGGGAACACGAGCTGCCCCTCAGTGGCTTTTCATCACTGTCACTGCCATCAACAACAGACCAGGGTCAGTAGTGCAATGCATATACAAAGACATGGCGGCGCATAACGCCTGTGGAGACTTCCTGACTCTATAAGCGAACGCGCGACGTCGCACCGAGCAGAAACGCTGAAATAGCAAATCACGTACAGACTATCAAATGTTTGGCCGCGGGAACTGCCGCACCGACTCGGTTCTTACGGTTTCACCGCATCGGGGTTGCGAGCGGGGTGCAGATGCAGCGGCTGCATGGCACGAGGGAGGCAGCTACAATCACTTCACTAATTGCTAATTGCCTCGACTCCATGACCAAAGGCAATTTCAAATCTCTTTAGAGCCCGTGATGGAAATTGCAAGAGTCTAGCTCATTCCAAACACTGGAAAAAAAAAATGAAGGTGTGTGTGTGTGTGTGTGTGTGTGTGTGTGTGTGTGCTTGTGTGTGCTGTGTGTGTGTGTGTGTGTGTGTGTGTAAGCGCGTGTGTGGGAGGAGGGTTGGTGTTGAAGGCTGAGATTGAGAAAGGGAGAGGAATCAGGAAGGAGGCTGGCAGAGAGCGGTGGGGGCATAGACAATTCCAGACAAACAGCCTGTCATTCCCGGTATTCCCGAGGGGCGCACACCAGGACCGAGGAGATTAGATGCCAATTTAAGAGCGAGGCAACCGGCCAACTTTCGCTGGTGTCTCTCGACAAGACGGGAGGTCACCTCAAAACAGGATATTTCTCCCTCGCTGTCCTGCTTTCTAATGCGCTAAACCACTCTGCCTCCTTTGAGTTGGTATTCGCAACACAAAGCAGTAAAGTGCAGAGGTGGATGCTATTTATCAGTCAGAGTTGTGTCTTCCCTTGGGAGGCTTTAAGGGAGGTGCAGGAGCTTGAGAAAGATGAGGGGGGAGGCGGGATGGATTTAAACCTGTCCTCAGCACGTAACACGTAAATTGCGATTGTGATCCTAAAAAGCGCGACTCAAATCCTTATTGAATGATGAAAAGGCAAAACAAGTCAATTATTTTTTTCGTTTATGCAGTGAGATTGCACCCTCCGTGAGAGCAGAAAAATCAGGCTGATAATGAGGTTCAACATTATCTGAATAATTAAGTACAATGTGTAATCAGTAATACAAAAAGAAGCCCCGTGCTCATTGGTGGGAATGATGAATTTGAAAATTACGCGAGTGGAAATTTTACCAAATGCACTCTTAAATTGTTATGATTGCAATTAAAGTAGGGCGGCTCGGTGGTTCGCGCGTCGACCTCACAGTGCAGAGGTTTGATTTCAACTCTGGTCTTCCCGTGTGGAGTTTGCATGTTCTCTAATGATGAAAAGGCAAAACACGTCGATTTTTTTTTTCGTTTATTCAGTGAGATTGCACCCTCCGTGAGAGCAGAAAAATCAGGCTGATAATGAGGTTCAACATTATCTGAATAATTAAGTACAATGTGTAATCAGTAATACAAAAAGAAGCCCCGTGCTCATTGGTGGGAATGATGAATTTGAAAATTACGCGAGTGAAAATTTTACCAAATGCATTCTTAAATTGTTATGATTGCAATTACAGTAGGGCGGCCCGGTGGTTCGCGCGTCGACCTCACAGTGCAGAGGTTCGATTTCAACTCTGGTCTTCCCGTGTGGAGTTTGCATGTTCTCCCCGGGCCTGCGTGGGTTTTCTCCTGAAGACAACTGGGATAGGCTACGGCACGCCCCGCGACCCTTGTGAGGATAGAGCAGATCAGAAAATGGATGGATGAAATTAAAATATGTATGTCTAATTTGAGGGAGCCCATAGGCCAAGTGTGGAGTGTTTTGTCACATCTTTTCAACCCAAATAACTTCCATTTTTTACATACAGCCCTTTTTAAACGGAGAGCAACCACTAAGACAGAATAGTCAAGTACTGATAGAAACAATAGTGGCACGCTACAGTGCGACACTTTTGTTCAACACGTTTTGAGCACAAAGACGCACCTTAAGATTATAATTTGAGGGAGCCCACAAGCCAAGTGTGGAGTGTTTTGTCACATATCTTTTTAACCCAAACAACTTCCATTTTTGACATACAGACCTTTCTAAACGGAGAGCAACCACTATGACAGAATAGTCAAGTACTGATAGAAACAATAGCGGCACGCAACAATGCGACGCTTTTGTCCAACACGTTTTGAGCACAAAGACGCACCTTAAGATTTCAAAGGTCTCCTTCATGTGGACTTTTAATAAGCAATCTTATCTTTGCTTTTTCTATTCTATTTCATTAGGCCATTTTTCCATGCAGGCCACATGCGCTCTACATTTTCAACTCTTATCAAACCTCCTTTGGCTGATGATTGTTGCACGGTGAAGATAAGTGGCTGTTATCGAAGAGCGGTATAATGCCACGGACGCCGTTGCCCGCCCACAGTGACTTTCAATGTGCTGATTAAAAAAAAAAAAAAAAAAGGAGGCGGGTGGGGGGAGGCTCAATGCTTTTGTGTCGCAGCTCCTTCGGGATGTTCGGTAAGTTGGCCTCAGCTGGTTGTGCAACAAAGCTTTCCCGCGGCCCCCCCCTCTCACAAGAAGCTGGATGATGGAGTGGAGGCACATCACCAGGCCCACAGTAATTACTTTTGTCTGGCCATTGACCTGCACTGACTTGGTTCCAGGGCAGCACAGAAACATCAGGTCCAAGAGGAAGTTTTGGCCGCCTTATCCACAGGTTTAATGAAGTTTCAAAGTGTTTTCACAATTCACGTCTTTTGATAGCAAAGGAATCAGTAAGCGTTCTCTGACATGTCGAACATACAACTGAAATTAGCAACATACCCACAGCGGCTTGCTTTGCAAGTACATGGGAAACAGAAAGATTCTCTCTGGCTACTTTCCATCGTGGCCTTTTCTTCGGAATGCGATTCATTTATCCTTCCATCTACTTTTGATCCTGTTCATGGGTGAGCTGGAGCCGATCACGGTTTTCACTTCTTGTAGATGCTTCTCTCTTGAAGGAATGGTCTCAAGAATATCGCCTTCCTGTGTTTTTCTTAACCAACCAAATGGGAGGCCAGCAGCCATTTTGGTAAAGATTGTATGAACCCAATTTTAATGAAGTTAAGACTGCTGGAAAAAAATAAAAGAAAAATCAGGATACTCGGTGAAGGTAAATGGAAAAGAAGAAATGGAATTCCCCCCCACCTTCATGGCTGGAAGCAGACCCCGAGCCATGACCACCTGCTGTTCCCGCACTGGACAGCAGGGCAAAGCAACAGAGTCGCGTCTCTTAAAGAGAAATGGTCTGAAGCATAATTACCACTTGTCAGCTCTCCGGACACGTGGCAAAGCGGTGGGTGGCTTATTGCCTTCAGAGATTCAAAGGGCATAAGTGAAGCCCGGATTCAACTTTAAAGCCAGGAAAACAACATCATAGCCAGGCTAAGGGCACTCTGGGGGGATGGCAGTCAGAACAGCTCCATGAAACCAAGCATGAGAGGCATTCTAAACAGATCGCAGCAGACTCACTCACTCCTCCCCTGAATTCCCAACACTCCCTCCAGCAATACACCAGAGTTGAACAAATATTGATATTCAAATCGTCCACATTATGAAAAAAGGTCGGCCACCATCATTTTGAACGAGGGGTGTTTTTATCTGCAGGCACTTTGGTGCGAGTCAAATTCCTTAAAACAGACACCAACTTGCAAAGTCAACCCCTGATCACACTTTTTAGTCATTGGCGAATTTTCTCTTTGCTATGACACCACCAAAGCAGAATGATCTAATATCGGACCAGTACTGTCGGAGATGCTACAACCTTGCATGTGTCTGGACTTTGTTGATCTCTACACCGAGTGAAGGAAGGAAAACCCCTGCACCTGGCTTCATTAATGTGAGTGAATAACGATTGTGGAATGAGACTTTTGTCGAATCTGTGCCAGATTTTATTATGTTCCTATTTAGGCCAAATGCCAAACTCCTCCACAAATGCTTGTGGCCATTCGATGGGTAAACAAAGTAAACAAGTAAAGAAAGCATCAACTCTTTCAGATGAAGAAAGCAACAACTGCTCCATGTGATCCAACATTAGAGTCGTACAGAATAAACAATATTGTCGTAGTTCCTTTCGCAACGGAGCTCTTGTTTTGAAGTGGTAAACAGTCATCCTACAACGTTTAAATGAGAAAATATTGGGCCCTATTTTTGTGCCCAATGCGACTGCGCGCATGGATGGATTTTTCTTTCTTTTGGTATTTTTGTCGGCAGGCGCAGTTAGAAAGCACCGTTGTGCGAATCAACACAGTCGATTGCTTCCCGGGCCAAAGGAAGCAGCTCCACTCATTGCCTTTAAAGTCAGCACAGGAGACATGTACATCGACTTTGATATTGTAGAAGTGGAAACAGACTCACTGGAGTCCTTGTGGAGGATTGAAGCCCGCAAAAACTACGTCGATAAGGAACTGCAAGCGGACCTCCGCTTGTGGATGATGTAAAGTTGGCTCGGGCCATCACAGATCACTGCTGTGAATGGCGCACTTGGAGACCTTCAACTTCAATTCAAGTGTGAAACCTATTCCCCGCAATGTTGTGCCAAAGCTCGCAGGGGGGGTGTTTTAAAAATATAGAATAAAGATGAGGCGGCCCGGCGGCCGAGTGGTCGACCTCACAATGCTGAGGTACCGGGTTCGATTCCACCTCTGGCATTCCTGTGTGGAGTTTGCATGTTCTCCCCATGCCTGCGTGGGTTTTTTCCGGGTACTCCGGTTTCCTCCCACATTCCAAAAACATGCATGGCAGGTTGATAGGGCACTTTAAATTGTCTCTAGGTGTGATTGTGAGCACGAATGGTTGTTTGTCTTTGTTTGCTATGCGATTGGCTGGCAACCGGTTCTGGTTGTCCCCCGTCTACTGCCCGAAGACGGCTGCAAAAGGCTCCAGCACGCCCTGCAACCTTTGAGAGGATAAAGCGGATCAGAAAATGGATGGATGATGGATAATAATGATAAGTTCAATGAATATTTCTACAATGATTCAGAGGGTTCAATGCATGCTGTTGTCATATTTATGAATAGGATACAATGACATCCACCACACATATCAACGGAGCACAGAATTAGACTGCCTGAACCTTGAGCAAATTCACCAAAATCACGTTACAGCACCTGCGCTACAAATGAGACCTGGTTAGAAGTCTCGTCTGCTTTCAGTCACCAAAGTGTCCAGTCTGCCACAGACATGTGAAAGAAAATACCCTAGGTCCGTCGGAACACCTCACATGATTCAACGCGGTCTGCCAGATTTCCAAACACCGTAAATTAGACTTGCCCCGATGCAAAAATCGAGACGTGCCGATTTTACATCGAGTGAACACTTCCTGTTGGCAACAGAGGTGGCTCAAGCAGACTGAGTCCAAATCCACTGTGGTCCAAATTGCTTCACGGGGACAGCTCAACGGTCGTCGGTATCATACAATGACCTACATCCCGGTGAAAGCACCAAGACGCAAAGAATGTCTGACGTGTGTGTTTGAGCCACGTCTGCGTGTGCACACCAGTGAGTGAGTCAGAGTGATCGGCCTGGCTTCACTTTCGTGGCCGCAAATTGCTTTTGGGGCTGCAGAGAAACCTTCTTATCACATCTCGGAGCTCCAGCGCATGAACAGTTTGAAGACACCCAAGACAACACGTTTCTTCCCGTTGAATTATTGTCCTGGCAAGCGTCACAGGAAAGCAATTGGCAGCCAGCGTGCAATTTTGACTGGCGAGGTTCAGAATGGAAGAAGGCAGCAAGGGCTATTTTAGGTGATTTCTTGTGTGTGCGAGCAAACAAACACACCATTGTCACAAAAATAGCAAGCGGTGATCTTGAGCACAATGGGATTCAATTGATTCTCCTTTCTGTCGGCATAGCAACCGACAAAAAAAAAAAAAAAACACCAATGAACAATGACAGTTCAGAAAGTTACAGTATTTCTTAAAAAGCTTCCTTCTTATGGAGGAACACAGTTTATGTCTGTTGTAAAGAGGACACGTTATAGAAAATGGCCTTTTTAATTGCTCGTGTGTGTACATTCTACTTTGTGGTTGTCCCTTGGGGTGCCTGTTAACCCAACAAGTGTGAAATTAAACCACCAAGGAAGCTTTTGCTCGCTGTCCAGTTCTGCAAAATGTGTTTGCTCTGAATTTTGCCGAATGCTGATGTTAGAATTCACCACTCATGCCTTGGCAGCTCGGCTTGGGAAATATCTGTCATGTTCGGGCGGACTACATTGAAGCACAATCATGCCAAAGCCAAAAGGTAAGCAGAGCTTAAGGGTTTGCACATATAAGCATGCTAAACATAGCAAGGCACAAATACAGTTGTCAACCGAGGGGCACGGTGAGCATTATGATTGGTGAGGTGTCTGCTGCATGCACCGTATGCACGAATCAGCAACACAAACTGTCAAGTATAATTCAGAGATTTGGGGACGAAGTGCTGCCTCCACGAGTGAAAATCGAATTCAGTCTTTATGGGAGCTGGCTTTTTTCCTCGCGCACTGCCCTCCACTCACATGCTGATTTGGTCGTTGTGGTAACGAAAAATGTACTCGGGAGTGAAGCAGCAGTGCAGAAGCGCAGTGATTGAAGTGGCTAATTTGCATGAGACAGAACCAACTCCTCCCGACCCCCTGCAACCCTCAAAAGAGGAGTACTGTCATTTAAACCATTGTGTTATAAGTTCATGTTAAATGCGCTGTAATTCTTTTCCTTTGTATATTTCGAGGAAAGAAGGTCATTCGAGACACAGATGGACTGCTTTAAATTGAGGGGGTAGGGGAGGAGGTGGGGGTTCTTAAAGTACAAGTATGTCGGTTTTTTGTTGAGTGTGTAGTATGAGCGAGTGTACAACGTTCAAATATGTTAGAATGGTTTTGATTTAATTCACTGAAGCTTGCAGGTAATATGTTATATAAATGTTTAGATCTGCCGAAAACCCAACAGCACGAATTAACCCAAAACAGCCATATTTTATCTTTAAACAACATCCAATGCATCACATTTCGCCCCTGGGCATCGCAAAAACATAATCCGAGTTGAAATAGTCATTGTGTGTTTGATGATATGCTAAAATGCAAGTTGAGGAATGTGTATATACTATTTATGTACCTGACACTGGAGTCAACAAATTGTTGGGGTTTTTTTCCAACCAATTTGTAACGAAGAGATTTACCGTATTTTCTGCACTATAAGGCGCACCTAAAAGTATTCAATTTTCCCAAAAGTGCACCCTATAATCCGATGCGCCTTAAATATGATGTTCCAGTCTCTTTATATTCTCCATTGAGTTGTTTCCCTGTTACAGTTCCTATGCCATCTCGTGCTGATTATTAGCAGGAACCAATTGTAACCTAAAAGGGTTCTGCCCGACACTAATTGACATGCATTTGCCAACACACACTCAAACAGACAACTTCTTTGCGAGCTCTGCACAGCCATGATGAAATTGAGATAATACCAAAGAGTTAACTACTGACTGAACGAAGGAAGAAAAGTCGAGCAAGACTTCGAAGGATATTTTGCCACTTGTGGATGTGAGCCCACGAGATTTATTTGACATTTTGCTGAATCAATTGTCTTCACAACGTTTGCTTTTTATTGTTTTGTAATTTATTTTTATATTTATGTTTCAGGTCCGTGTTTGTGACCAGTTTTCATGGCTTTGTTACAGTTGCAGTGGTTGTGAAGTCTCTATATCAATCAAACTGTATTGTATTGTATTCACTTTAGCGTAGCTCCAACTAGTGGATGCATAGCGCAACCGGAGCCACTATTGTAGCTTCTATTTTATGCGCCTTATAATGAAGTGTGCAGTATATATATCAAACAGTTTAAAAATAGGCCATTCATCAAAGGTGCGCCTTATAAGCCGAAGCGCCTTATAGTGCAGAAAACACAGTATCTCCATCTTATATTACAAACTGACATGTGCAGTAAAAATTTTAAAAGTTAAAATTTCAATCGACAATGAGTGGCCATGAAAGGGTGTATTTGTCCATTAAGGTGGGCTGCTGCCAGCATTTTTAACTCCAATTCAACTTTGCTACCATGCGAAGCTGAATACTACCATATCATCCAACGCACTGGCCAAGGTAACCCGACGCCCACCCATCTCTAGCCCCACATGTCAAAAAGAGAGTGCTGCTGCGAAAGCCTTGTGTACTTGAATATGTGATTTAGGCCTGCATGACTCATTGATCCTTTTCTGCCTGTGGACTGCGCGGGTTAAAATCTCTGACCCTTCCCCCGTGGCTTTGAAACATAAAGTGGCTTCACTGGGCTGCGTATTGACGAGTAAATGGTGCTGTCTCTGCTGCTGAAAGAGGAGATTGGTTTAATCTGGTGCCCTTTTCTCATATTTTTTGTCGGTCTATCGGCCTTGCTACTTGCATATACATAGATGACTGCCACAGAAAATGGTAGAATTGATGGTGCTGCAGTTTTGGGAAATGACCGACACAAAAGAGTGGACATGCACTCACCGCCAAAGACATTCGGGGCTCTGTTTTCTTAGATTAACCATGTGCATTCAGGCATGAAAACTGCCACATCTTGATTTTTTATGCCGGTGCAAGCATGTTTGTTTGGGAATTTGGCAGACCATACATTGTCATGCTGGGCCTCTGGAGCAACTAACAATTTGGTAGCTGAAAGTAGACTAAACCTTAAACCAGCTGAAGGCAGGTCTACGTTCTGGCACAGGTGGTGTAACAGTATTTTGGTGAATATGAAACGAGGTGCAGTTGACAGCTACTGAGCTCCATAGATGTGTTTGGTTGATGTCATCACATTTCGTTCACACTGTAAATATGACAACAGCATGCATTAAACCCTCTGAAAATTTGTCAAAATGACTTAATTAAAAACATTATTATTATTATTATTATTATTATTATTATTATCATCTTTTATTCTCCTTGGCTGACACACACCTATTGTGGTGGAAGTTACACAAACGGACACAAAAGACCAGTTGGAAGGCGGTCTCTGTGTTCACCCCCCACAATGGTGCAAACATCACTTTTTAACTGCGTGTATCTACAAAAATACCAAAAGAAAGAAAACTCCACCCAGGCGCACAGTTAGACCGCGCTTTGCATGAAAAACATCAAAGCGAACAAAACTAGCATTGTTGCTTTGGTAGTGACAACAAAGGCTGAATGATTTTGAAAAATAACGTAATTGTTATCTTTTTTTTCCCCCTCAATAATGTGATTCTGATTTCACTTGTGATTATTTTTTTTCATGCTCCTCTTCTCGTGCATTTACTAACAAAGTAAAGAAATCTGCATTACAATAACGAATATCAGATTTGTCATGCCATTTTTGACACAGATTATCCTGTACAGGGTCGTCGGGGGGGGGGGGGGGGGCTGGAGTCTATCTCAGCTGACTTCGAAAGGCCAACTATACCTTGAACTGATTGCCAGCCAGTCGCAGGGCACACATTGATATGAACAAACATTCACAACAACATCCACGCCGTCACCAAGTGGCAACCGATCCCACGCCGCCCGCACAAAAGCCAGTCGAGTGTACCACTACACCATCAGCGACTTTCGAGGGGGGAGGTGCCGGAGCCTATTCCAATATCAGATTTATTATGGCACATCACTGTCTTGGTTTTACAGGTTACATTTGCATTAAAATGAGGGTAGATGAACCATTTATATGAAAGTTTATGAAAGCAGATCTACTTCAGCTTTAATTTACAAAGCACATTGACTTGCAGTCTTTTAAGCGTCCACAAGAATAGGGTCACAAAATTCTACCAAAGTAAGGCGTAAACGGAAGAGTGAATCATGAACCAGATGACAACAATAATGCAAACAAATCGGTGACAAGAGGCGGAAAAACACATACATGCACATTCTAAAGCGATGCAATAAACTACTGATGCCACAAGCAATACACAAACTACACATAAGCGAATACTCATCTCAATTAAAAAAAGGCTCTGTATGTGGCTAAAGGGAGCACAACACGTCTATTGGGTACTAGTCCAACTAGTTTGGTTTTTACAGAGTGATTACCTAGCCGATTTCATGACGGAAAGTTGAAAAGTGTCTTCTAGGCTCGTCCTCGTAAAGCTCAAGAACAGAAGGTTTGCTTTTTGGATAGGGAAGAAAGAAAATGAAAGTGAAAGAAAATGAAAGTGTGTTCACCGTGTAGCTTTTTCATCACACACAATCAGAGCCGGCCGATGTGGCCCACCAGGTGAGGTATTATATTGTGCCCCTTCATCTGCGAAATAAAATTGCATTGTTTTTACCATTGCCTTGAATATATAGGATATTTTTTTTTCTTACATAGAGTCTATTTCTGCTTCTGCAATGTCAAAGACTGTGCACATCTTGCGTGCCGATTCTTAAAGAAAATGAGAGGCGCCTCCATTGGCTGGGACGCTTGTCGGCTGTGTTCATGCCCACAACGTCGCAAACATCCCTTTCTACCTGCACTCGAAATGACTCTACCCGTGTGCACATTCGGACCGCACTTTGCAATAAAATATAGCCCATCAACTTAATAGTACACTGTGCTTAAAGACTTGCAGAGTACAACTGATGCTTCATTTCAAGATGGTCTCTTGAACAGTTTCTTTCTCCTTTAATTTCCTCCTCTTTTCTTCCTTTTTTCTTCCCTGTGTCCCAAAAGAGCGACAGTCATTTTCACATGTTCACAAAGTTCTCTGGTGTTACGTCAATTAATTCGCCCCGTCCCCTTAGGGAGGAGGTTTGAATCGATCTTAGCTTATCGATTGGAAAAGTGAATTCATTATTTATTTATGTATTTATTTTGTTCTCAATTTAGTTGTTTTACTGTGGAGGCATTTGCCTTGATTGCCAAATGGGCTTGCCGGCTCTGCACAAAATGTTCATCGGTCATTTGCTTAAAAATCAAATGTTGCGGCTCACCTGTATTCACAGAAGGTGTCATCATTCATCGCTTGTGACTCCTCATCAGGGTGCAGGTCTTCCTTCTCTTTCACTGCCAAAACAATGGGGGACATTTTGGCTATTATACATGGCTTTATTTGATCTGGACTGATTGGAGCCACACTTTGCACGTCTGCAATAATACTTCATACAATCCTCAGGGTTCTTGTGCGTGCCCATTGAAGGATAGCTCAAAAGAACAACAAAATAGTTTGGGACTGCAACGATCAATTATTTTAATAATCGGTTACTCGGTCAATTATTTTGCCGATCACTCGAATTTGATTTTTTTTTTTTTTTTAAATTTCCATCACTTAATTAAATAAACAGGATAGTATTTAAAATTAACTACAGGAAACACACAGACAAATTAATTATGCTGAATGATCAATTCAAGTAAGAAAATGGGCAAAAATGTTCGTTGTTTTCCAAAGTTAAAGAAGATGCTTGCAAATGTTTCATTTTGATACAACACAAAGCGAATAAGTCTGCTTTCATGGAGGGCCACAGAAATCTGAAAAATATTTACTAAGGAGAGTCAGAAATTCTGAGCATTAGTACAATTCGAAACTAAACAAAGTGTCTCAACAATTAATCAATGATCCTAAATAGATTAATTTGATGCCCGATGAGTTGCCGAACAGTCAATCGTTGCACCTCGACAACATTTTGTTCGTTGACTGCCAGGCAAGGCTTGCAAAAAGAGTAAAGCCCCACACAACAGTCAAGCTAAAAATAATCAAAAATCCACACAAAAGCATTTGAGCGCATACCAGCGTTAGATTTCAAAAGACAGGAGTGAAAATCTTTTGGGGGGTAAAACTACAAATGGCGTGTGTAAACATTAATTCAAGTGTGAGCACACAGAGCTTCTGTTCTTCCACAGTTTTTTTTTTTTTTATTCTTGCCTTGAAATCTAACGGAGCAGAAAAAAGGGTTTCATATAAAGAACTGGATGGGCAAAGACGGGAGGTCCAAAAGTGCTTGTGAAATTTTTCAATACTTGTCAAAAGCTACCCACGCTGAGTTGGTTTGCAAAGGGGGAAGACAGCTTGTGAGGAAATAAAGCACGTGTGAGGAGAATGAGTATCTCTCTGCTCGGGGGAAGCACTGAGGCCCAGCGGGTGCACACGCACAGGTGAGAAGTCGAAACCGCCTCATCCCCTCTTGACAAGATTTTTATTCAGAAGTGGCGCTTTACACAGGCATGCAAAACAGTTTTCACATGCAGTCGCTAGCTTGTCAGAGCCTGTTCTGCTGAAAGTTTAGTAGGAACTCACTTATGCACTGGATTTGGTAGAGAAGAGACAAAAGTGTGCTCATTAATGAGGAGGATGAACTATTTGTCGTGATTACAGAAAATATTGACTCCAATGTATCGTGGATTACTGCAATGCACTTTACTTTGGAGTCAGCCAATCCTCCATTCAGCGTCTCCAGTTGGTCCAGAATGCTGCTGCTCACCTTTTGACTGGTACTATGCCCACACAAAAAACTCCTACTCTGGCATCCCTTCAATGGCTCCCTGTACATTTTAGAGCTCTTTTTAAGATCCTATTATTTGTTTTCAAATCTTGAAATGGCCTCGCTCCACCTTACCTCTCTGAGCTACTCCTCAGGTCCATGGACCAGACACTATTTGGGGTGCCGAGAACTAAGCAGAGGTTCAGAGGGTATCGAGCCTTTTCCGTTGCCGGTACCTCTCTTTGGAATGGCCGCCCACTGAACATTTGGCCCATCTTTAAAATTCGTCTTAAAACAGATTATTATTCTTTGGCTTTCGACTCAGCATGAGACTCGATTTTTAGTTTGACTGTTTTTGTGCTTTCTACTGTCTTTGTTATTAATTTGTTGTCGCGTGACTTATTTTTGTTTCATGTGCAGCACTTTGTATACAGCGGTGGTTGTTTTAAAGTGCTCTAGAAATACAGTTGAGTTGTGTAGAGATTGTGTCATGTGACACGACTGAAAGTTGATAGGCGATTGAGGAATATGACCATCATTTTTCGAATTTGTTGTTATTTTTCACAGAAGGAATAAGAGAATAAATTTTTTTGGTGTGCAAAAAGGAGACGGTTGTTGATAGCAACACAACAAATAAACACCAGGCAAGCATTACCTTAGTGTACGGCTTTCAACAATGAGCCATATTTTTGGGCTTCGAGTAATCATTCCCACGTTCCTCTATGATGATGAAAGCCTTTACTCAAATAAATGATGCATTCAGAGGTCAGGGTGTGATAAAAACGAGTGAACAATACAATTCTGGAAACTCTCAGAACTACTGTAAACGCTCAAAGATCAATGGCTGAAAACAACAGAGCAACAGCTGATGCTGAGCCATTTTGCATTGTCCCACGTCGCCCAGTTCTTGTTTAGATTCTGGATTTGTGTTCCACTACTGGACAGGTTGGAACGTCAAGCTTCTTTTACTTTCAAACTGTGCAAGTAGTGCTGCATGTCCTACTAAATTCTCAGGACAGAGAATTGAGTTGAAGCATGTCGTGATCACTTCATTCAAAGGTGCCAGGCCTGATAGGATATTACTCGAACACGGGACGGACATGCATGCATGATGCTAAGAGCTCGGTGTGTCAGGGTTGAGGCCCGCTCTTTCAGGAGGTCAACCAAAACAAAGGCGAAAAACGTGATCAATGACGGCATGTTGCATCCAAAGAAAGGGGAATGATGACGTCCGTTTGTCAATCAAGAGAGCCATATTTTGGTTGACTTCCCAAAAAAGACACTGGAGACCCGAAAGCAAACCCCCGTTGAAAGACTAACTGACCTTTGTCCATGGCGACCACGTCTTGTCTTCCAGGCGGCGGCGTACCTGCATACTTGCCACCTTGGTTTCTCCGCATAAAGCAGACGGTGAGGACAATGAGCGTGAGGAGCGCCACGGCACACATGGTCCCGATGAACCAGCCCTTGGTAGATATGCTCCTTGGTTGTCCTGCTGCGCCTGCCGACAATGACAAACAATCATTTCAATAGTCGCCGGTAAATGTTCGCGTTGAAATGAAAACACAGATTTAAGACGGGGAAGAAGAAACTGATTTCTTTCAGCGGAAACGCTGGCTCCACTCTGTGAGTATCACACTGTTCCAACCCGCTCCATGAGGCCTGACGCAAAATGTGATTTGATGATTGGGCCCTGTATTTCTGCCAATAATATTGATTATTGACCATTCACTGGTGAATATGAAGACGGGATTATAATGAATGTGATCAATTCCAACAGTTTAATAATTACATGACAGAAGGAGACTGGGGTTGAGTTCCACAATATTCAGCGTGATCAAGCAGTGGAATACCGAATTATCAAGGCCTACTAAAAGTAGCAAAATTAAGACAGGGTACTACTCATGTATTTTCAAAATGTCATATGGTTCATGATATTTGGTTAAAAAAAAAAAACAAAACAACAACAACAGCAAGACAAGGGCAAAAAACAAATCACTGAAAATGTACCCAAAAAAGTAATAAACGAAATCTACATTAAAAGTTAACAAATAATTATAAAGCGGAAATAAGGTGACAATTTGTTTTAAAAACAAACATCAAATTAAAAAAATAGGTTTTAAAACTTAAATACCAATCTAAAGACTCTGCTATTAAAAATAATAAATAAATAAATAAAAGCTCCAATGACTATTAATTGCTCCCGGGGGAGCTCGAGTGGACAGTGGTCCCTTAGTGGGTGCAGACAACTTGCGGCACTAAGCGCTACTGACTTTGACACAACATGTTTGCCGCCTCTTACCTGTGACTTGCGTCTGGATAACGTCCTCGAAAATGCTAGCGTTATCGAGCAAAGACTTGGCCATGAGGCGCACCGTGTACACCGTCCCCGGATTGAGCCCGTCAATCACATGGAAGCTTTGGGAAGCATTTACCGCCTTGGATATTCGCCAGTTACCATCACCTACACACAAGCCAAGCACAACAAGTGCACAAGCAGCGAGTCTCAAATGGTAATCCCAGCAGGATATAAAGACATGCTGCAAGAGTGGAAGCTCCAAAGTTTAACGCCCGTGAGATATCTCAGATTAGACAACTCCAGTAGGTTTCTGCGACCTTATCTTGTCATGGTGAAGGAGTTTTTTTGTTCTTTTTTTTCTCAGCATCAATTACCATGACCGTATTTTCCACACTATAAGGTGCACCTAAAATCATTCAATCTTCTCAAAAGCCGACAGTGCACCTTATAATCCGATGGGCCTTATTTATGGATCATTATTCAGATTTCTTGGACGTAGGATTTTAAATATTCTGTAAAGCGCGTTGTTTCAGCTGCAGCGGTTGTGAAGGCTCTATATCAGTGGTTCTTAACCTTGTTAGGAGTACCGAACCCAACCAGTACGAATTCACCGAAGCCTTCATTGGTGAAAAATAAAAATATGATTTTTTTTTTTACAAATTCATAAAAAACACATTTATTAAAAACTGAAAAAAAAGTTAACACAATTAGTATGAAGTATAATTTTTTTTAATTGTGCACAAAATGAACCAGCCAGTGATGGCCAAGTGGGCGTATCATAACTAATTGACATGTTGAGTTGGGTGTGTCTTAACCTCCATGGCAGAGGCTCCGTCGAACCCCTGAGACTGATTCACCGAACCCCTAGGGTTCGATCGAACCCAGGTTAAGAACCACTGCTCTATATAAATAAAGCCGTATTGTATTGTATTCCCTTTAGCGTAGCTCCATCTAGTGGATACATAATGCAACCTCTGCCACTATTGTAGCTTCTATTCTATGCACCTTATAAAGCGGTGTGCCCTATATATGAAAACCATTTTAAAATAGGCCATTCATTGAAGGTGCGCCTTAAACTCCGAAGTGCCTTATAGTGTGGAAAATACGGTATTCACAAATATGTCAGTGTTACCTCCTACTAGTAAAAGTGGTTAACTTATTTTACACTTGTGTCACTGTTAATGTTCAAAGTTTTTTGACAGTTTGACCCTGGAACTGAACATTTGTATTTCCATTAATGCCCCCCCCCCCACCCAACTCCCCACAATGCCGTCATTGAAATGAACTAAGCAGCATGGCTTGTGTTCGATCTTAAGAGGTTCCACTGAATGCCAAAAATCTAACTTAGAACATGTACCATTTCGAGGCAATGGCCATGGAGAAAATGTTGAAGCGTTATTTTGGATGGACGACATCTGCATCAATGTCACCTAAAAACTTGTGTCATTGTGGAGCCGTCGCAAGAAGCTTACGGTTGTTCATATAAGCCACGTAAAGCTGCGAGTCCTGCTGCTCCTCCCTGGCAGTCCAGCTGATTTTGGCAGAGGTGTCGCTCACGTAAGAGCTTATGTTCAACAGGCCTGGAGCTGATAGAAGGGTGGAGAAATGGGGAGGAGGGGAGAATACAGCAGGAAGGGAGAGGAAAACACCACCGGGCATGGAAATGAGGGAAAGAAGACAGGAAAAGAGGATTAGCAAAAGCAAATAGGATACCCCTTGCCGTTTGAGAACAGTGCGGCTTGCCCTTCGAGATGACTGCTTAAAAAGGCAACCACGGCGCCCCCAGACTTAATTAAACAAATCTGGATTTGGGCTCACGAAGGGTCAATGTCGTGCTAGTGGGCGCGTGTGACATCGACTCCTCTTTTAAGCAGAGCCGGGCGCCCGACTCAAACTGAGCGAAGCGACTTCACGCATGGAGTCTCATTGTTCATTAAAAGTTGAGGTACTTGAAGACGGCGTCACAAGAAGCACGAGCTAGAGCACACATTGTAAATACCTAAAGGAGGAGGATGAGTAGCTCTGTCTGGGATCAAGCGAGGAAAGGAAAGAGAGCAGTTGTGGTCTGAAATGACAGAAGACGTCTCAGATGTTAGATTCCCGCTTCAGAGAAGAACTTTGTAAGCAAGACTTGAAGCAAGAAGAAGAAAAGACTACAAAAGACCATAGAGATGGAAACATCCCAATTTTCCAGCTTTTCTGGGAAAATTTGGCTCGACTGAGTCTCAGTCCTTGAAGTGCCGTCATGCATGTTGACGTGCAAGACATTAGCTGTCTGAGAACAGACTGTGTTCAACCTTAATGGTTCTACTGTAGAGTAAACCACGACTGGAAAAACGAATGGAAGAAGTAAACACTAGCGAACCTAAACGTCTACTCTAAATAGAAGCATATCTTAACCCCTCCACAAAATTTTGAATACTCAGATCTATCATACATCTGGCACTACATCTATGTCAGTGATCTGCAGAGGCGGTCATACATACTGCCGTCAACAGAGGCCACAGCTGCAGTCAAGAAATACAAAAAGATGAATATTAGTCATGTGTTCAAGAAAATGACATCTTTAGCGTCGGTGCATGTGCCACACACGAATCTTTCCTTAGGTCTCAGTGAACACAAACGGATGTTTGAATGAGCACAATGATTGAGTGCAATGCTAAACATATGTTTTCTTGAAAAATATATTTAAAGAAATTAAATTAAATTTATGGCGGCCCGGTGGTCGATTGGTTAGCTTGGCGCCCTCACAGCGCAGAGGTGCAGGGTTCGATTCCGGCTCCTGTGTGGAGTTTGCATGTTCTCCCCCGTGCCTGCGTGGGTTTTCTCCGGGTACTCCGGTTTTCTCCCACATTCAAAAACATGTGTGGCAGGTTAATGGAACACACTAAATTGTCCGTAGGTGTGAATGTGAGCGCAGATGGCTGTTAGTCTATGTATGCCCTGCGATTGACTGGCAAACTGTTCAGCGTGTCCCCCCCTAATGCCCGAAGACAGCTTGGAATAGGCTTATATATATTTTATATATATTTTATATATATATATATATATATATATATATAAAATACTGCTTATATATATCTCTAGGGCTCCTCTTGTACTTTGTATACAGTGCCGTATATATTTCAATCTGAAATATATATTTCATCTTCATGATATTTTGGGGATTGTCTGTCTTTTGACTAAGTGTTTTAATTCATTACAATCTGTTTCCATCCATTCCAAAGGCATGAGTCATACCGAAAATTAGCTTAGCTGTGATGACAGGCTTCCAACTCCATGTGCCTCTCTTTTCATTTCATTTCTTCACTTTATTCGTCAACACGATACCGAAACTACAGAAGGAGAAATACTATTGCCGCGTGTGCGCTGTGTGCATGAGTGGCTGCATGGCTTCTTGTACTAAAATAGATCCTGATTCTACTGATGGCTGATTTTTGGCTGCAGTCAACCTGAAGAGCTCTTGATTGCTATTTTTCCAAAACAAACTCTTATCAGCATTAGCTACTTTCAACGCGACCAGCCAACACATTGGCGATAAGTCGTCTGCTCAAATTTGGTGCAAGTGAGTAAATATTTGAATCCCTGTGGGATACTTGTGGTTATTTTCCTTGCCACTTGAGATGTGATCGCAATATGTGCTTGTGATGCTGTTTGTCTCGTTTGAAACCCACCTTATCTCTGCTGCCCTCTTATCTCAGAAGACCCCCAAGAGAGGAATGGACTTTTTTTTCCTCAATCACTTTTATTCTTCTTCCTTTTTTTTGTCGAGAAATCTTTCAACTACTTTGCATTTAAATCTCATCTTGGCCACCCACAAATCAAGCTGTTTTCATTTGTTTTAAATGCCATTATGACTATTTACCAAATCGGTTTTACGGTGAACTTTTTTGGGGTATTTGTGATGTGAAATCTGCGGTAGTGTTCTGCATATCTAGTAAGCAGTATAAATAATCTCTTTTCCTTTTTTTGTTGCTGTTCTTTCTCATGTCACACTCAGAAACTATAATAGATATACACACACACACACACACACACACACA